CTATATTTGGTAGGTCAAAGACAAGTAGGTGAGACCGCCCTTAATGACACTAGCTCTCGATCACACCAGATAATAAGACTGGTTTGTATTCTTGAAACTTATTTTGATGGATTAACATGAAGACATACTCGGAAGACATTATTTGTATTCACCGGTTAGAATTTTTTGTTGTCAATGCAGACAATAGAAAGTACTCTTCGTGAAAGCTCAGGCACCGTGAGATCTTATGTTGCAAGCTTGGTAAAGATAAAAACTCCACTTTTTCTTTACTTTCAAGTATAACAAGGATGAGCAATTTCCTTATGATTAAACTTGTCCGTGTTTATGTTTCGCAGAACTTTGTAGATTTAGCTGGGAGTGAAAGGGCATCACAGACAAATGCAGATGGTGCCCGGCTTAGGGAAGGCTGCCATATCAATCTTAGTTTAATGACTCTTACAACGGTAATTAGGAAGCTTAGGTCAGTATTTGCATTCACTTAGACATGAATATATGTTTGGCTAAGCTTAAAAATTTAATTTAAAAGTAAATAATTTTGTTTTTAAATAAATTGTTTGGTTGGTTAAATTTGCCTTCATAAAATAGCTACCTGACCAAGGAAAGTGTCTCACAAGTTTTTTCATCCTTCTTTCTCACAGAGTGACTGGATATCTTACCTTAAGCTATTTAGTTGATAAAGTTGAATAGTGTGGATATCACTGAGTTGTGTACGTTGAACAGACTGAAGTGCGTATTTTTATAAGATTTCTAAATAGAAGTCAATTATGAACTGTGATGAGTGATCAGAGATTAATCATGTTTAACCTTAATGGGAGATTTTCCATCAATCTACTTTCAGAATGATTTTATATGAAATATCATGTGCAGTTTTTCATGACCCATAGTTGCATTAATTAATTGCTTATTTTCATGATTGTTTGCTGCCAGTGTGGGAAAACGAAGTGGCCATATACCATACCGAGACTCGAAGCTCACACGCATATTGCAGCATTCACTGGGAGGAAATGCACGGACTGCCATCATATGCACATTGAGTCCAGCGTCAAGTCATGTTGAACAATCTCGTAACACTCTGTACTTCGCTAGCCGAGCAAAGGAAGTGACCAATAATGCTCAAGTTAACATGGTAATTTTAAGTATTATGTGTTCGTGTACTGAGGTTATATATAAGACGAATTATGTTCCATCTTTTATCTACACTGTTACTGATGAATGTAATGTCTTGTTTGATTGTTTACATCAGGTAATTTCAGACAAACAGCTTGTCAAGCATTTGCAGAAAGAAGTAGCAAGGCTCGCAGCAGAACTACGCACACCAGATCCATCTAATGAGAAAGATTACAAAATTCGGCAGGTTAGCCAGCAATGGAATTGTGTCGTAATTTTTGTTTGTTTAAAATGAATTGATTTTCTTGAAGTTACTTATCCAACTTTCAATTGGTTTGATTAGATGGAGATGGAAATTGAGGAACTGAGGCGTCAAAGGGATCTCGCACAATCTCAGGTGGATGAGTTAAAACAAAAACTTAATGAGGATCAGGTCTCTCTCTCTCTCTCTCACTCCCTCCCTCCCTCCCCACCCCCACCCCCCCAAATGAAGTTTAAACAACAAAAATCAATCTGATTTTAGAAATAAACATCTTATTTGTCGTAGTACTAGAAACTAATCTGTTTACTCTTGCCTTATTCAGGTGTTAAAGTCAGAGTCACTTCGTCCGATAGCAACGAAGCTTTCTTTTTCTACGACTTCAATACCAAAACTTGAAGGAAGAGAGCTAGGTTTCTGCGGCAGAACAAGAAATACAGTGGGAAGGCAGACACTGAGGCAATCATCAACCGCCCCTTTCACACTAATGCATGAAATTCGGAAACTCGAACATCTTCAGGAACAACTAGGTGAAGAAGCCCATCGAGCACTCGAGGTACTACAGAAGGAGGTAGCCAATCATAGACAAGGTAACCAAGATGCAGAGCTTACTATTGCTAAGCTGCAAGCAGAGATAGGGGAAATGCGGGCTGTTCAGCCCGTCCCCAAAGAAGTTGAAGCTGAAAATGTTGTCTCAGTTAGCAACAGTGTTAGTGCAAACCTGAAGGAAGAGATAACCAGGCTTCACTCTCAGGGAAGTACCATTGCTGATCTTGAAGAGAAGCTAGAAAATGTACAGAGGTCAATAGATAAATTAGTAATGTCTCTTCCAATAAATAACGATCAGCAATCCAATGCTGGTGCAACTACAAAGGCCAAGAATCCATCAAAAAAGAAGAAGTTGCTTCCATTGACTTCAAGTAATAGCCCCAACAGGCAATTTTTTTTGAAATCTCCATGTTCACCTCTATCAGTTTCTCGGCAAGTAATGGATTCTGAGGTTGAAAATAGAGCTCCAGAATTTGATGATGCTGTGTCTGGTGAAACTCAGCCAGTCTCTGAGAAAGAGACTCCTACAAAGAGTGAAGGTGGAGATGTCTCATCAAAGGAAAATACTCCATATCGGCGTTCAAGTTCAGTCAACATGAGGAAAATGCAGAAGATGTTTCAAAATGCAGCAGAAGAGAATGTTAGAAGCATAAAAGCATACGTCACCGAACTTAAAGAACGTGTTGCCAAATTGCAATACCAGAAACAGCTTCTTGTATGCCAGGTAATCTTGGAGATCTCTTCTAACTATTTCAGAGGTGATTTAAATTGTTCACTGAAAATCATTTTGTGTTCTATAGAGTTTACCATATATAGAATCTTTTACTTGTTCTTCCCAGGTGCTTGAGCTTGAAGCAAATGAAGTGGCTGGATACACTATGGAGAATGATGAGAACATGCCTGAGATACAAGAGTCTCCAGTTTCATGGCATGTAACTTTCAGGGAGCAAAGGCAGCAAATCATTGAGTTATGGGATGTTTGCTATGTTTCCATCATTCACAGAACACAGTTTTATCTGCTATTTAAGGGTGACCCTTCCGACCAGATATACATGGAAGTCGAGCTTAGGCGCTTAGCATGGCTGCAGCAGCACCTAGAGGAGGTCGGAAACACAAGTCCAGCTCACGTGGGAAATGAGCCCACAATCTCATTATCTTCAAGGTCCTTTCCTCCCCTAAACAAATATGTTTTCCATTATCGAGCCTAAATATTGAATAGTTTATTCTGACGAGTGGTTTGATATGTTAAATAGTCTTAGAGCATTGAAGAGGGAAAGAGAGTTTCTTGCAAAGAGGTTGACTACGCGTTTGACGGCGGAGGAAAGAGATGAACTATACCTAAAATGGGAAGTTCCACTGGAAGGAAAACAAAGGAAGATGCAGTTTTTAAATAAGCTCTGGACCAATCCCCACGATGAACAGCACATACAAGAGAGTGCTGAAATAGTCGCAAAGCTTGTGGGATTAAGTCAAAGTGGAAACCTGTCGAAAGAAATGTTCGAACTTAACTTTGTGCTCCCATCTGATAAGAGGCCTTGGCTTGTGGGATGGAACCAGATATCAGATCTTCTTCATTTGTGAGAAATTACTATTGTTTTTGTAGGTATCTTGTTACAATTTCATGTTCCTTATATGTATATGAATTTCGAAGGCTCTATTTTGGAGTCTTCCTTGGTTGTTTCATAATTAAGACGTGGCTGATAGTGCACGCTGGTTGGAAATATATGGATCATCAATTTCTCAAATAAGAAAAAAATTCTTTGAATTTTTCGTTTTCGGTTTGTAGCTTTCAGAAACAGTACAATTTTAACTCAATATGGAGGTAAATATTTGCATGTTCATTATTTCTGCTGCATCTGTGAATGGCAATGAAACTATACAGGTTCCATAAGTTGGCGAGGATTGGACATTATTGACATTATATTGTCTAGTCATGTCCAATATAATGTACTGAACTTGCACTCGTGTTACAAATCTTCTGTGTAGGAGAAATGTTCATTATTTCTACAAGATAAAAGACTAGACAGGAAACATAATAATTTATTTATATTATATTCAATACACCCATATTCAAATAAATAAGTTTTAGTGAGATTTATAGTAAAAACTTCCCAATCTGACCATTGACTCAACCAAAGCACTAGCAAGGTCACGGGTTCAACCGTTAAATCACCAATTTACTGCTACCCACCACCACATCGAGGGATGTCTCCCCCCGGTTAAGGTGGCGGCGGCTGATCGTAGAGGCGGCTATGACGAGGTAGTTGTGGGATAGGGAGAGTAATGGGTTGAGTGAAGAAGATAATTTTTTATTTTTAAATTTTTTAAAAGATAGATCTATAACGTCAAATCATTTTAAATAAAAGGCTACGATGATTTGTCAAATCTATTGGTATGTTGAGCGGTCTCCAAAACGAAAATACAAACATTTGGATTGTGACTTACATAATTTTGCCAATTGAGCACAAGGTCCGTGTTTAAAGCTTATATAGGGGTAGGAAGTTTGATATTTTCACTGAAGGCCAGTTTTACTTAAAATCCGTTGGGTTGAGTCCGATTCACTTACAGTTTAAATGGGTTTTGACCAATACTATTGTAAACTAGTCTCAGCCAAACCGATTGACAAACCAGTGCAATAGTTGAAGTTTTATCTAATTTTCACAACCATGTTAAGAGCTTGTTTGAGAGGGATTTTAATTCAATTAAAATTAAAAATATAGCTGTTATTGAATCTCACTCGTCTAGTAAAAGTCAATAATAACGGCTAGTTTTTCAATTTTAATCCGATTTTAATCTTTACCAAACAAGCTCTAGGAATAGAAGTTCTTTCCAGACGGACAAAAATGGGTTTTCACAACTATGCATCAATTGCACAGCAGATATGTCAATACAAATAAACTGTTGCAGTTACTAAGCAAAAAGCACTGGCTAGTTAGACACTTAAAAAGAACGAAACATATGCACGTACAGAATCCGAACATCCATGTTGGGTACAATTTTTTCAATACAAATTAATTATTTCTTGTCCCTACAATTAAAAATAAGTCGAAACTTTCAGTACCTTCGAAGAAAAATATTATCCCGTTTATTTCCCACGGTTGTGGTTCAGATGAGAAATGCCTATTACAATTGCCAAAACAGTGTGATCAACTCCAGTTTGTTTATCTGCAGATGCAGATATCATCAGCACAAAGGGAATAAAATGAGTGAGGCTCATTAACTTAGGTTATTGCTAGATTTAGCAAAATCTAAAGAAACGTGATCATTAGGCTAAAACTAGCATCCTTTTTTTTGCATGGACAACCTTAATGAAGAATGACACGATAAGATTGGCATAGTCAAAGTAATGGAGAAAAGCTGGTCAAGAGGATGAACAATATAAACAGTAAGATGGAACTGTCTACCAACCTTGGCATCTTCGCAACTTCTTTTTTCAAACAAATTGAATTGCTTTTTAGGATCCTAAGAAAATGCCACATAATTGTGTATACAAACTCAAAAACAGCCATACACATTATGAAATGGTTTTCTTATCGCTGCTTTTTAATGATTCTGTCTTTCCTATCTAAACAACTGCACTCTCATTTTTTGTCAAAAAATAAAAGTTATTTATTTAGTTTGGTTGCATCCACTCATGACTCTTAACAGAGAACTTCCAGGAGTGTTGCAGCAACCCAGTTTCTTTTACTGCATTCGAAAAAAATTCAACTTAAAGATTAATCCATTCAAGAGTACTAAAATAATAATAAGTGACAAATTAGTTCCACATTCAATTTCATTCATCAATTGAACTGCAATACATTATACATATGATGTCTCAAATATTTGAACTTGTTGAAGTAACTAGATATCAAAATAAATAGACGAAGTCAGAGCAATGATACTGTATGATGTAAGAAAACTAGAAGGGAGGGAGGGAGGGAGAGAGAGAGAGAGAGAGAGAGAGTCATTTCCCTAGAGGCTAACTAGAAATACAAAACTGACGCTCACATATTACTTTAACCGCACTTTATTCTATAATAGTCAATTTCACTTAAATAACGAGAATTCAAGCACATGCCATGAAGTACAAAAACCGGAAAGTAAGGAGACACGACCAGGCTTGGTTTGGTTACTAACTCGTGTCTAGTGTGCGAAGAAATTCCACTATAGAAGTTCACAAAGTAGTGATCAATCTTTGAAATCCCAAACCCCAAAATTGTCCCGAACTTATCCTTAAAGAAATTAAGACATACTCAACAACACTTCACGACTAGTCACTTAAGTGTTAAGGAAACTAAGTCCACTGGAAGAGCTAAAACAGACCATAAAACTACTAAAATTTAAGTAGAAGTGTCTTCATGTTGTTCATGCAATACATTATAATCAACGTAATGTTCAATCATTTAGGCCAAATTTGTGTCTACGTATCTATCATACTCAAGTCCTGAAAAAGGCAAGTCCGTGATGGCCCCAGGAGTATGCTGGATAGTTACTACGATTCATTACAATTAGAACTTACCACGCAATGTTTTCCCAATGTAGAAAGCCACCATGTCCTCTAGCATTTGAAAACTTGTAAACTGGACCAGAAACTAACAGAGAAAATATTATGGGTCAATCATTTGCTCAAATGCATTAATATTAATATGACTAAAAGCACTGTATAGAGGTCTGTTGGTAAAAAGGTTGAAATCAATAGGAAAGCTGAAACTACCTTTATAACCCTCAAGAACTGGATCCTCTGCCAATAAGATGGGTGTATCTAGATCGATGAATCTGCAAGAAAATTATCTGTCCGAGTTAATATGTCTTGTACATTGAATGTAAAAATTAAAAAGTATAAGCAGATCAATAAGAGCTGCCAGCTCTAGTAAGCAAGAACCTCATGATGATCATCCCTCAAGTGGAAAGTACATGATATAAAAAAAGGAAGTTGAAATGCTGAACCAACTATTTTTAGGTGAAAATCTCATGAAACTCGGATGTAGTCTGCTTAGCATCTCATTATGTCTAATGTAAAAATTACTTTTTTTTTTTTTGCTAAATATATTTGCCAAAAAAAAAAGTAAAGAATAATTTTACATTCAAAAACTTGATTTTTTTTTTTTTAAGTCTGTTTTGTACTTTTACTTTCTGAGGCTTAGCTAAACATGGTTTTAGACTGCAACATGATGCTCCTAATTTTTCTAAAATGAATGAATTAGTGCTTACTTGAAACACCCGAGGCCAGCAGCCAAATGACCAGCGAAGCCCATGGCAAGTCTAGTTTCAACCATACCACCAATCATGAGATCCAATCCTGCCGCCCTTGCTAAATCAATGATTTCAAGGGCTCCAAGCACTCCAACCTTGGCAAGCTTAATGTTGATTACATCTGCAAGTTTTTCTGCCACTATTTTCTTCACATCAGCTAAACTACGACAGCTTTCATCAGCAGCAACAGATACTCTGTATTTGTCTTTTGCGATATGACTAACACGACCAAGACCTTCCCAATCATCTCTATGAACTGGTTGTTCGAAAAGAATTGGTGTCACCTTCATTTCTGCAAGAAAGATACATATCAATATTATTCCATGCTTGTGGATCCTAAGACTACAATACACAAATGCAGTCACCTGCACGCAAATATTGATGAGAGAGAGAGAGAGAGAGCATTTTATTTAGTTTCTCTAGGTGTTCCAATAGCTAGTTAAATGCCTGTGAAAATACAAATTGAGAGAATTATCTTACCATGTAATTTTTCCAGAACTTGAATGGCTTCATCTGAGTTGTAACCTTCATTAGCATCTAAGATAAATGAGCAGTTAGGGTGGACCATACGTATGGCTTGAAGAACTTCAATGTCTGCATTCAGATTCTTGCCCACCTTGAGCTTCAAAATATTGAATCCCTGTTTACCATACTTTAAAGCCAGCTCAGCCGCTTCAGTGGAGGAAACTATTGGAATCTAAACATGTTATAATAATCAGTTAGCGTTAACTGACAAAGTTCTGCAGTTTCAAATCTTTTAAAATTTATTTCTCTAAGTTCTGCAGTTTCAAATCTTTTAAAGTTTATTTCTCTACCCTTCTTCCTAATTTTAAACAATTTTTATGAAAGAATGAATCTTTTTCATGAAGGATCACAAAATATAGGTCCTGTTCTCCTGTGGAAATGATTTGGAAGATCCAAAACCAAAAGATAGTGGTTTCATTTTCTTTACAATTCTCAGAAAAAAAAAAAAGAACCCAAAACTGAAGTAGCATGTAAGAAGGGAACTAAACCGTTATATCTGTGGTTATTTCATTTGAAAATCCACCAAACAATCTCCACAAAGGTATTCCAATGCTGTTTGCAACTGCATCAATCAATGCCATTTCAACTCCTGCTCTGACCTTCATTAACATATACAATTTGATGAGTTGAAGAAAATTCCTCAACACTACTCTACGGAAAAGTGAATAAACTTAAATCAATAAACATAATCTGTATCCATTTCGACTCTCCTTTCCTAAAAAAAACCACGTCTGGATTCAATAATCAGCAATAACTTCCACCCAGTACATATCACCAGTAGACATCAAGCAAAGCACCTTTATGTTCCATGCCTCTTAATAATTTATGCAAAGATCCACTAGAGTACCATTAATATAAGGACTTGATAACTTCAACAAAGATGCTAAAAAATCTCTGAAACTCTTATTTACCATCAATTTTATCTGGATATGACACTGAATCTCCTTTATTTTGCAAGTGTTGTATAGGCTGTAATAATTTAATCTCAGATATACAATCTTTCCCTCATTTTAGTGAGGAGACAGGGTATCTTCCGTCAAGAAAAGCTGGGCATATGCTAACTTACCGAAGCATTTGGTAAATTAGCACAATCCCCTAATTTCATGGCATTCGATGTTGTTAGTGCCTGTTTTCTGCAAACTTATGTTAGTGTAAAAATTAGCTACAAGATTCTTCCTTCGTTTCTTCTAGAAAATCCTTGGCTTCCTGCTTATGTGTCTCTTGCTGAATGTGCTGCTGACTAATACAATTCTCCAACTCAGCAGATTTGTTGTCTTCCAATAGAAAAGCAATTTCTTGATGCATAATATGGATTACAAACATTGATTTAGATGTGATTGAATCGAATTACTTATTCCTCGGTCCATAAGTGAACCATCTCTCAGAAAGATGTTCTAGAAATATTCTTGTTTTGTTCACCCAATAAAACTTACATAACATACAACATACAACTCAGAGAAGCAAACTTTAATCACGATGGTCAACAACGACAAAAATATTACAAAAGCTGAGCAAAAACGAAAAGTAACTTAACATTTCAGTACTGAGCCTTAACTCATTACACTAAAGAAATTAATTAAAAGATTAAACCAACAAGGAAAAATATTAACAAGTTCTTGAAATTAATGGGTTTTATATAACTTACAGAAGCGAATGCATGTCCAGGAAGAATCCCTTCAATCTCCTGCAAAACCAACCCCAAAGTCTTTCCCGGACTCTTCTTCAGAAACTGACAGGCATCTGCAGCTTTAGACAATGCAGTTTGCTGATCCTCTGCCGTCACATGTGGAAGAATTGGAGCCTCCCCCCATCCCACACACCCCTTATTCAATTCAACCCGAATGGCAACATTTTCCACTTTATCAAGCCTCGATGATGCAATTGTGAAGGGTGCAATCAGAGGCACATTCAGAGGCCTACCTTCTGCTCTGTGGACATCAACTGTGAATGTTTTCATCAAATTATTAAACCCAAAAACCGCGGACGGCGGTGCAGCTGGTGCCTCTGCTGCCATGCAGGCGACGGCGATTCCTTTAACGGGTTTCTTGAAATTTGATGGAAATTTCTGGGTGTTGGAAATTCGATTAACTGGAAAACAGAGGAGAGTAGAGTGACATGATGAGTGAAGGGAAAAAAACCCAGATGGACCCATTAAAACAGGAATTTGAATCAATTTCTTGTGCGATCTTGATTGGGCTCGCAAAAACTAACAGTCATTTGTGACTCTTTTGTACACTGTAGATTAAAAGACAATAATTGAACAGGAGAGTGTAGATTAAATTAATTAACAATACAAATTTAGGGTTTCGATTTGTAGCCTGAAATTTGATTATTCTCATCTTACATGTGGGTTTAACATTTTTTAATTGGAGGAAGTTTTCATTTCCTATTTCTCCGCCATGGATGAACGAACAACCTCATAGAATATTCTCCTTATTGTGTCAATATGAACGATAAATGCCTACATAATCTAATGAATAACAATAATTCAATACTAATGTTTGCTCCACGATGGAAACCCCTTTTTTTTTTTTTTTTAATACCTACGTATCCCAGCTTACACCGGACTATATCCTGGTGCCTCAACTCTGGGCGGAGGTAAATCGCGGGTTATGCCCAATCAAGCCAGTGTCCATGCAAGCTTTATACTCCTGGCCCCAAGGGAGCCCTCTTGCACCGGCTTTTACATCACCAAGTTGCTCTACCACATGGTTTGGGTATTACAACACTTGACTGCTCTGTCCGTGATTCGAACTCCCCACACTGAAACCGGTTCGTCAACTCTTAGCGATGGAAACGCTTTTTCTTACACGCACACTATTTTTAAGCCATCTTTATCGATTATGATAATAGTGTATAAAATCGAACATAATTTTATCTTTATCGATTATGATAACAGCGTATAAAGATCATGTTTGATTTTGATCGATTGCTTTAAAGAGTTCTAATCTAGATATAAATCAGATTAAGTTCATAGGTTTAATTTCAATTAAATAAATTAAAAGTCGATAAGCAATATGAGCGCGCTAAGTACTTGTGTATCACCATTGTACCACTAGCGCGTTAAATTCTAGGTGGCGTGTACATGCACGAACATTGCATCATCATTTTAATGATTACTGTTAATTTAATGAAGAACATAGTAAACATCAAAAAAATGTTTTCTTTCATTTAACAATTATTGGATTATTGGCAAAAGTCACAATTTTGTAATTTTCTTATTCCATATTATTTTAAATTTTTTTGTCTATCATTCATCCATATAATATTTGTAGTTGTAATTAATGAGCTTAATTACATATTATCTTGATATAATTAACAATTAGTCTAATCATTCATGGTTCATGCCTCTTCAATCCATTATAGGGGTATCTTTCCATGAATTACACGCTCGGGTACATGACCCCGCCGCCCCCTCACAATGAGGGAGGGCCCAAGGTGAATAAAATAATGGACGGACCCCGTTGCGAGGAGGGGTGAGGTACACTGGCGTGTAGCATTTCTCATCTTTCCATAAAAAATACTTGTACTTATTTGGCCTTAAAAGTTGCTGAATCTGAATGGGGCCAGGTTGGTATCATATCATAGTAAAAAAAGCTTCTAGCTTTATCCCGGCTATTTACTTATAAGTAATAAGCAAATTTTAAAATAAATAATTTTTTGTTGCTTAAAGTTGTAAATAAGATACTTATTTTAAAAACAATTTTTATCAATGGCACATTATATGCAAATGCCGAGAAATGCGATATTTTTGTATTTGCTAAGAATACATGTTTTTTTGTCAGGAATCTTCGTTCGATTCTGTATGGTAGCATTAGCTGTTAAACCATGTGAACTAATCAGGTCTTCATTAAATAAATTTTTAAGTATTGAATGCAACATTTACCTTACGAAAGAAGTTGATGGACCTTTGCATAAAGTTGACTTTATTGTGTCTATTATTAAAAGTTGACCACACTACTTTATATCACGATAGTTTGTTGAGTTAAGCATGAACTTTTGCGCTTCTAAGTATGGTTGAGACAATTAACTCGATTTAGCTTACGGGGTCGGACCCCAGCTCTATGTCCGAACTTAGACTCAGCGATTTCGTCACCCAATTATTACATAATGTGCCAAGTTAGGTGTAGACACTCGTGTGTATACCACGTCAAAATTAGATACCAATATCCTATTCTTTGTCCGATACATGACACGAGAAACATGGAGTTCAAATGCCAAAATGACTGTTTCTTATCAAGACTGATAGATGCATCATCCACAAGTTTTCCAAAAATACATACAAATAGATAATTGGTACTTGTTTTTGTTAAATACATGTAAAAACTTCCACGTCGTTTTGATTTCGACTAGAAGCATACTCAAGAGATTCTTTAAATTTTTAAAAGTGAGATACTGTCATTATAAAGAGTTAAGAACATCTTCAGGGGAATTTTTTTTTTTTTTTTACGTGGAGTAAGTCATTGGCGAAATCGTCCCTTGAAATAAAAATAAAATAAAAACAATTGCATTGCAAGCACAAACTAACAATCGATTAATTTCTTATACAATCGTGTTACATTTATCTTGCCGGATGCCCGAACGGAGACATCTCGCGTCTTTGAGCTCTTCCCACGTTCAGTTTCTGGAGTCATCTTGACCGCAGATCGGCATTAGCGTGTTGGTGAAGCTTACGTGTGCACGAGTGGACCCGATATCTGTTTGCAACATTTTTTGGGGTCAACAAGGACTAATATACTAAAACAATAAAAATAATTTTTAAAATGATGGTTTGAGTGTATTCACAAGTTCACCTTAGATATCCCCTTAATCTCAATCATCAATTTTTGTAACGATTGATTACGTATGTTCAGTCAAATTCTTCTAACATATTTAATTTACATATCTCGAGTTCAAATTAATTTTATTTATCTAAAGTCAATTTCCCATCTCTATGTGAATCTGGATAAACTTTAAATAAATGCATGTTTTAAATCTTCAAAAATTCACGCAGCAATCGCGACAATCATAACATGTACCTCTACCTCTTTATCTAAATTCCAGGCTTTTACTATGTGGTCTAAGCAAATAATTCACCTCTTGGCGTAATTATCCCCCACAAATCAATGAATTAGTGGTCAATTAATTCAAAGCATTAAGAATGGAAGTAAAAACAATTCACAGTATCAATTGAAGATTTAAAACTTTTTAATTAAAATTAAGATTCAAAACTAAATTACTATCATTATACTAATTAATTACTTAATTATACATCATGTGAGAAGAATAAAATAAGAAAGCATTAAATTATGTCATCGAATTTTAAGAAAAAAGCGACAAAAGATGAAAATCTTGTACCGTTGATCTGCCTTCTTCTTGTAAAATCTTTGAAACCTTAGCTTTTTTATTGATCTCTTGAAATTTTCCTCCTCAGGGGCTCTCTTTTCTTGTGATTGAATTTTTATCCCCAAGAAGCCCTTTTTGCTTGTATAATAATTGTACAAAGAATCTCTCAAACTTCGGCTTGAATACACGTCTAGATTTCGATCAAAATCCTTGTTCAAATTGGTTTCCAAGGAGAGTTTGAGAAAAAGAGATAATAATTTTTTTAAATTATACTCCTTTTCTCATTCAACTTTAGTCGTTCATCTTCTGATATTTGTAATTATGTCATTTTTATCCTAAAATCATTAATAACTGGCCTGACGTAAGTTTCGAAAGTTTGCAACTTAATCCTCAAACTTTCCAAATGTCGATTTTAACTCCCCGAAACTTATGATTTTTTACCGAACACTTCATTAATACTTTAAATTGATCATTTATAATTCGACTAATTTTCAATTGATTTGAATAAACTCCAATTAAGCTCCAAACAATATTTTTTACACACCAATTATATCCAAATTTGTATTTTTCCTATAATTAACATAATTTACACAAATTAAATAGATAATCACTCAGTTTATAATTTAATAAGAATAGAAGCTGGGATAAATGCATAACACTTCTATACTTAAACTCATGTTCGTCTCAAGCAAGACTATTTACCAACACACAAGCAACCAAATAAAAATAGAACATTAAATAACTTTGCCACTAGCACCAAGTATATATTGAAATTGTTTGATAATTCATAAAAAAGTTCATAAGTAATGCAATTAAAATTAATTCTTTACTTATTTTATGCTTGATCGACGTGTGTTTGTGCATAGTCAATCAAATCATCATAAATGTTTTAAGTTTGTTCTTTCCCGATCCGTAATAGTCAAATAATTTATTTCTCTCTCGTGTGATGCATACTTCCAAACTTGTTTTTCCTTCATATACCTAAATGTATATTCTAAGGTTGATTATTACAACACTCGTTCATTTCACGCTCAAGTTTGGATGGGTTTTATCAATGAAAGTCACTATCTTAACATGTGATTATTCTCCTAAATTTGAACGTCTCAACCTCCAAGTTTCAACCAGGATAATAACCCTCACCAGAAGTCTAAATCTCAAATTAAGTATTCAAGGTTTATCCGAACAAAAACAATGATTATAGTTGTTTTGCCATTGTCTCAACACACTTTGTTTTGTTTTTAATTGTGTCCCTTCTTCAATTTTTAGGATCTTTTTTTTAATTATCGAAGGTAGTTTTCAATCTACATTGTAGACATCCTTCTTTTTTGGTAAATAGTCTCCTAAACATTGGTGATGAATAAGATTCGATTACTCAAGACTAGCTTCATATAACACAATGCATATGGATTGAGCCATTCCAATCCCAAATTGCGTGATATTTAATTTTTCGCATGATACTAGTCTAGGGTTAAACATTATTGATCAAATTATAAATTCTGTATGTCTCTACTTCTCCATGCACGTACCCAATTTATGTTATGATAAAGATATCGAAGGCACATCATTACATGTTTAATCAAAACAATATAAATGCAATTTTTACTCTAGAACAAAATAAACAATTAATATTTACTTAACAAAAAATAATTTGTCTAACTATTACTGTAGTCCTAACACTTTTATGTACATGTGATAACAACTTCACCATAATATACTAATCTTGCAAAAGCAAGCATATAGAGCTAACTTGGAAAACATGATCAAGTCATACCTTCCTTTATCCCCCTTGCAACTTTCTTAGCTACAAAGTTCAGAACATGCTAGTTT